ACCTCCCAGAAGCCTCCAAAAGGCCCCCCAAAAACCTCCAAAGGTCACACAGCGACTGGCGTGTAATGTTATTTTCCCCACTCTGGGCGAACTGCGGCGCAGCGCCAGCCACGTGGAAGTTGGTCACTGCGGCGCCCATGCTTAGAGCCGGCGCTGGAAGGGATGATGGGGAGGGTGTACGAAAAGGAGGGAGGGGGGAAAGGCCCCAAAGAAGTCCAAGAGGCCGAAAGAAACTCCAAGGAGGCCTCCAGGAGGCCCCCAAGAGGCTCCCAAGAGGCCCCGCGACGACGTGACTGTATGTGCTCCGGACGTGCACCCCGCGAAGCGAGAGGAATCCACGTCCGGAAGTGACGTGCTGAGCGGCAGCGTTTTCCGCGGATGCTGTAATGCAGTGGGTCCAATGTGTCCAATGTCTGCATAATTCCCACATACTGTATTGTGTTACGTTATTATGTCTCCCCCCCTAACCCCCCCCTGGGAGCTGCGCCACACCGCCGGACCAAAGTGACGCCCCCCTTTCTGGGGCCCTAAAAACCTACAAATACCAATGAAAATCAACACATTCGGCCTCTTGGGCCTCTGGGGGCTCCTCGAGGGCCTCAAGATGGCCCAAGATGGCCCCAAGACGGCCCAAGACGGCCCCAAGACGGCCCAAGACGGCCCAATATATTCCCAACGGGGACCCATGAGGCCCCCAAGACCGCCCCAAGACGGCCTCAAAAACTCCAAGGACGGCCCAAGAGGGCCCCAAAAACGCCTACAACTGCGCCTCCAGAGGCCGAAATCATTATTTTCCGATGGTTTTTGCAATATTTTAGCGTTCTCGCCTTTTTCGACTCTCAAAAATCAATGACGGCCTAAGCAGCTTCCAGAATCGCCCCAGAACAGCCCCCAAAAACACCCAAGAGGGCCCCAAGACGGCCCAGGAGGGCCCCAACAGCCCAAAGAGGCCCCCAAGACGGTCCAAGAGGCCGCGAAGTCGGCCCAAAAGGACCCCAAGAGGGCTTCAATGCGGCCGCGAGAGGCCCCCAAGACAGCCTCCGACGGGGGCGAAACGGCGCAAAAGCGCCCCAAGACGGCCGAAAACGCCCCCAAGAGGCCCCAAGAGACCCCGAAAAAGCCTCCAAGAAACCTCCCAAAAGCCTCCAAAAGGCCACCCAAAAACCCTCCAAAGGTCACACAGCGACTGGCGTGTAATGTTATTTTCCCCCCTCTGGGCGAACTGCGGCGCAGCGCCAGCCACGTGGAAGTTGGTCACTGCGGCGCCCATGCTTAGAGCCGGCGCTGGAAGGGATGATGAAGAGGGTGTACGAAAAGGAGGGAGGGGGGAAAGGCCCCAAAGAAGTCCAAGAGGCCGAAAGAAACTCCAAGGAGGCTCCAGGAGGCCCCCAAGAGGCTCCCAAGAGGCCCCGCGACGACGTGACTGTATGTGCTCCGGACGTGCACCCCGCGAAGCGAGAGGAATCCACGTCCGGAAGTGACGTGCTGAGCGGCAGCGTTTTCCGCGGATGCTGTAATGCAGTGGATCCAATGTGTCCAATGTCTGCATAATTCCCACATACTGTATTGTGTTACATTATTATGTCTCCCCCCCTAACCCCCCCCTGGGAGCTGCGCCACACCGCCGGACCAAAGTGACGCCCCCCTTCCGGGGCTCAAAAACCCACCAAAACCTATAGAAAATCGATGATGTCGACTTCTGGGGCCTTTTGGGGGGCCAAGCGGGCGCCAGCACGGCTCAAGATGGGCTCTGTGCGGGCCAAGACGGCCCCGAGACGGTCCAAGACGGCCCCAAAAGGGCCCAAAAAGCCCCAATGACGGCCCAAGAGGGCCGCAAGAGCGCCCACAACTGCGCCTCCAGAAACCAAAACCATTGACGTTCCTCCGGTTTGGTAATATTTTGGCGTTCTCGCCTTTGCGGCCCAAGCAGCTTCCCAAATCACTCCAGAACAACCCAAGAAGCCCCCAAGAGGGCCCCAATACGGCCCAACAGAACCCCAAAACGGCCCAAAGAGGCCCCCAAGACGGTCCAAGAGGCCCCTATGACGGCCCAAGAAGACCCCAAGACGGCCCCAAAGCTGCCGCGAGAGGCCCCCAATACGGCCTCCGAAGGGGCGACACGGCGCAAAAGCGCCCCAATACTGCCAAAGACGCCCCCAAGAGGCCCCAAGAGGCCCCCAAAGGGCCCCAAAAAGCCCCCAAGAGGCCCCCAAAATGTCCTCAAGAAGCCTCCCACAGGCTCCAAAGAAGCCCCCCAAAGGCCACACAGCGACTGGAGTGCAATGCCATTTTTCCAACCTGGGCGAACTGCGGCGCAGCGCCAGCCAGGTGGAAGTTGGTCACAGCGGCGCCCATGATTAGAGCCGGCGCTGGAAGGGAAGATGGGGAGGGTGTATGAAAAGGAGGGAGGGGGGAGAGGCCCCAAAGAAGTCCCCAAGAGGCGCGAGGAAGCTCCCAGGAGGCCTCCAGGAGGCCCCCAAGAGGCTCCCAAGAGGCTCCGCGACGACGTGACTGTACGTGCTCCGGACGTGCACCCCGCGAAGCGAAAGGAATCCGCCGCCCCGCCAGGTACGGCGCGTGAGATCCACAGCACGGTCTTCAATAGTGCTTTGTGTAAGTCTTCTCTCCGGCGCGCTTTTCATACCTACGGTTGAGGGAAACAATTAAGCAACACTCCCCCCGTCCCCCGCAATTCAAAGTTGACAGGTTTTCGCAAGACCGCTCGGAGGCCCAAAATCGGAAGATCCGAAACCAACATTGCATTTGGGGGGAGGGGGGGGAGGTTCAAACCAGATGTTCTGCATGAGTGTTGCTTAATTGTTTCCGACACCTGTACCTCTGCCGCTGAGCCCTCGCAACCCCTCCTAAGGTCCTTCCCGCGCCTCGCTCATTCCGCCGGCCCGGGGGCCCCGGCTGCGGCTGGGGCGCCTTCTGGCTGCCGTTTCCGTCCCAAGAAGAACCCCCTTTCACGTGCTAGCCTTCCAGGCGCCGCCAGGCGCTCTCAGAGACCTCTCCAGGATCCCACCGGGTCGGCTTTTGGGGCCTCATGAGGCTCTCCTGGGCTCATTTTCACCCTCCTTCAGGCCACTTTGAGCCGTTTCAGATGCCTTTCCACCTCTTTTCGAGCCGCACACACACACACACACACACACCAGAACACCCCATCAAGCCAAAAACATAGTACAACACAGAGGATGTTGATGATTCTGGCCTCCTCGCAATCCTGGCCTCCTCGCACTTCTCCTTGCAACTCTCGGAGCTCCCGTGCATCTCCGCTGGCACTTGCGGCCATCTTAGAACCCGGGCATGCTCTCTACGACCGTCCTGACAGCCTCTCGGACCCATCTTGGGCCGTCTGGCCGCATTCTTGGCACCGTTTTTCGCCCATCTGGGGTGCCCCCTCAGAGCCTCCAGGGGCTCTTCCAGGAGCCGCAAACAACCCCGGACTGCTTTTTTCCCCCTCCTGCTTTCATCGTTCACCCCAAGTCGCCGCAATTGACCCATTCTGGCTCGTTTTTGGACCCCGCCGGAGGTCCCCCTGGGACGAACCCGATGGTTTTTGTTGAGCTTCGCCAGCCTCTCTGCAGCCGTCCTAGCCTCAGGGTCATGTGAAAGACACTCCTCGGCGCACTTTCCGAGACGAGCCCGACGATTTTTTTTCAGTTCCTCCAGCCACTCTGCGGCCGTCCTGGGCTCAGGGTCATACGGCAGAGAGCTCGCTGAGGAGCCCAATCTCCTCTCCATAGAGCCCCACGAGGCCTCCAAGCGGCGGCCGTCCTGGGCTCTGGGTTATACGACAGAGAGCTCGCTGAGGAGCCCAATGTCCTCTCCGTAGAGCCACACGAGGCCTCCGAGAGGGAGCACCAGCACCAGCAGCAGTGCCAGCACCAACCCTGGCAACAGCAGCAGCGCCACTACAACTACCCGCGGCAACCTCCCCACTGGCAGCACCACCAGCAGCGCCAGCAACAGCACCTCCACCGCCAGCAGCGCCTGCAACAGCTCTACCAGCACCATCACCAGCAGCAACGGCAGCAACACCAGCAGCAGCAGCGGCACCTACACTACGTCGAGCACCAGCCCTTGCGGTGGCACCACCAGCAGGGTCAGCGACAGCGGCACCTCCAGCAGCGGCGCCAGCAATAGCACCACCAGAAGCGGCACTAGCAGCACCAGCCGCAGCAGCACCCGCAGAAGTACCAGTGGCAGCAACACCAACCGCAGCCACACCCCCAGGAGCAACAGGAGCTATGTTGTTCGGTCTCTGATGCAATCTCTCGCTCTCTCTCTTTCTCTTTCTCCCTAACTACCTCTCTCTCAATTCCTTCTTCTGCCTCTATCGCAATGACTCCCTCTCTTTCTCTCTCTCTCTCTCTCTCTCTCTCCCTGTGTCTTCCCCCCTGTCTATCTCTCTCCGTCTCTGTCGTCCTCTTTGTCACGAATTCTCCCCAGCTCAGAATCTCGAACGACCCGCCCCTTCCTACTATCCTCCCTACACGGGTGCTCCTCCCTGACTTCGGCGTCGGCCTCACGCAGACTCCTGCACACATGCGCAATCTGCTACGCCCCGCGAGCACTCTCCAGACTGCAGTGCCTGAGGCGTGTGAAAATCACCGGGATCAATTTCCAAAACATCTCCAATTTGCGCGCGCGGAGCGGCCGCCGCTCCCACAGTCTTCAGCATCCAAAAATGGTGGGGCGGCGGTGTCTGCCCTCTCAGGGGCGTTCAATGAATCCTTGTAGGGACCCATCAAAAGGAAACTTGGAGGGAGAGTTGGTTGCAACATCTTGGGTTTACACTCGTCCTCCTCCTCCTCCTCCTCCTTCTCCTCCTCCTCCTCCTCCTCCACCTCCTCCCTCCTCCCTCCTCCACCTCCCTCCTCCCTCCTACCTCCTCCTTCCTCCTCCTCCTCCTCCTACCTCCTCCTTCCTCCTCCTCCTCCTCCTCCTCCTCCTCCTCCTCCTGCTCCGCCGCGCTGCGGTGCGCGGGCGCGGGTCGCCGTCGCTGGGCCACTTCAGCGCCTCCTCCGGGGCCGGGGGGGGTCACCAAGGCGACGCGACGACGGCGGCGACGGATGATCGACGAAAGCGGCGAGGATGACGGACGACGACGACCGACGACGGACAACCGACAACCGACGACCGACGACCGACGACCGACGACGGACGACGGACGACGGACGACGGACGACGGACGACGACGACGACGACGACGGACGAACGACGACGACGACGACGACCGACGACGACGGTTGCTGACAGATGACGACAAAGATGGCGACGACGGACGATCGACGGGGTGCGGCGACAACGACGACATACGACGGCGGCGGCGAGGTCGGCTGCGGCGGGGTCGTCGACGACGAAGACGAACCCACTGGGCTCGTCGTCTTCGTCGTCGTCGTGGGGAGGGAGGAGGTGGAGTGAGGATGAGGAGGAGGAGGGAGGAGGAGGAGGAGGGAAGGAGGAGGGAAGGAGGACGAGGAGGAGGAGGAGGAGGAGGAGGAGGAGGAGGCGGAGGTGGCGGGCGCGGCGAGGCGGCGTCCATCGCGAAGTACATGGCGGCCTGCGCGTTGGCCATGATGCCCGCCTGGGGCGAGGGGCGGCGCGGCAGCGGGCCGCCGAGCGCGGCGGCGGCGCGGCAAGCGGCGGGCCATGGGGGACGAAGGAAGCGGGAGGGGGGAGGGGGGGAGGGAGGGGGAGGGGGATAAGAAGGGGGGGGAGAGGGAGGGGGAGAGGGAGGGGGGGGGGGGGGAGGAGGGAGGGGGAGAGGAAGGGGGAGGGGGATGAGAAGGGAGGGTGGGGGATCAAAGCGTTTTTGTTACGTATGGGGGGTCAAGACAGTTTGCAGATACGGCTCGAACACTGTATTCCCGGAGGTACAGAAATCCAACCCTGGAAGCACGATCCGAGTGAGGAATGTGCAAACAATCATTAGAGCCCCCCGCAGGTCCCCGGACACGTCCGCCGGACATCCCGGACACCCCAAACACGTCCCCCGGACACCCCGGACACGTCTCCCGGACACGTCCCCCGGACACGTCCCCCGGACACGTCCGCCGGACACCCCGGACACCTCGGACACGTCCCCCGGACATCCCGGACACGTCTCCTGGACACCCCGGACATCCCGGACACGTCCACCGGACTTCCCGGACACCCCGGACATCCCGGACACGTCCCCCGGACACCCTGGACACCCCGGACACCGCAGACACCTTCGTCCTTGTCGTCGTCGTCCTCCTCCTCCTCTCCTCCTCCTCCTCCTCCTCCTCCTCCTCCTCCTCCTCCTCCTCCTCCTCCTCCTCCTCCTCCTCCTCCTCCTCCTCCTCCTCCTCTTCCTCCCTCTCTTCCTCCTGATCATCATCGTCTACATGCGTCACCATCATGCCTCACTATCACCATCCTACTATCGCCTTCTCATCGTCGTCCTCCCCCGCATCCTCCTCGCCCGCATCCTCTGGTTTCCTCATCATGCTCTTCCTGACGACTCATCATCCTGCTTCTTCCTCCTGCCTATGGTAGGTTCGTGCGGCGTCGGCGCGCGCAAAGGTTCTTGACACCACATCGATCGTTCAACCTTGAATCGATCGCGACCCCGATCGTTCAAGGTTGAATTCCGTCGGGCCCAATGGCGTTATCGTGTCCCTCGGTGCTTCCGCGTCACAGAATTCAACCTTGAACGCCTGCGCCAGCGTCGCCGGCGCGCCAACGCCGCGCGAACCTACCGTACTCATCATGCCTTTCCCTACTGCCTCAATCTGCTCGTCTTACCTCTTGCCCATGCCCCCCCATCCTGCCTGCTCCTCCTCCTCCTCCCCCCCCCCCCTCCTCCTCCTCCTCCTCCTCCTCTCCTCCTCTCCTCCTCCTCCTCCTCTCCTCCTCCTCTCCTCTCCTCCTCCTCCTCATCCTCCTCCTCGTCGTCGTCCTCCTCCTCCTCCTCCTTCCTCCTCCTCCTCCTCCTCCTCCTCCTCCTCCTCCTCCTCCTCCTCCCCCTCATCATCATCGTCGTCGTCATCATGATGATCCTCAGCATCGTCATCGACATCGTCATCATCAGATCATCATCATCATCATCATCATCATCAGCATCATCATCATCATCATCATCATCATCATCATCATCATCATCATCATCATCATCATCATCATCATCATCATCATCATCATCATCATCATCATCATCATCATCATCATCATCATTACCATCATCATCCTCATCCTCATCATCATCATCATCATCATCATCATCATCATCATCATCATCATCATCATCATCCTGATCATCATCATCATGACCACTGTCATTGTCATCATCAGTATCTTCATCATCATCCTCATCATCATCATCATCATCAACATCATCACCATCACCATCATCATCATCATCATCATCATCATCATCATTGTCAGGATGGATCCCAAATATATATCAACCTGGATTTATAATGTTCCGGGATTATTGACCTGGGTTCATAACGTCTCCCCCGGAACATTATGAACCTGGGGTTTAATGTTCCGGAAATATTGATTGGGGTTCATAATGTTCCCCCCGGAACATGATAAATCCTGGTTTATAATGTTCTGGGCCTACCGATCCCAAAAAGATGTTAGCCTGGGTTTATAATGTGCTGGGAATAATGACCAGGGCTCATAATGTCCCGGGAATAATGAGACCGGTTTTTGTAATTCCAGAATGATAATAATTTGTTTATTTTTCCCCCAACGCCCGGATGCCGCACCCTGTTTTCCATGTTGGAATATTGACCCAGGTTCATTATCTGCAGGAGATAATAAACCTGGGTTCATAATGTTTACGGAATATTGACCCCGGGTTATTTATTCTGGAATGATAATGATTCAGCCGGGGGGGGGGGTGTTGGAGAGTAATGACCGGATTGAAACAAACCGTGGTTCATAATGTTGGAGTAAAAATTTTCGGTTGATTATTCCGGAAAGATAATGATTCAACCGGGGGGGGGGCTCAGCTTCATCCATCCACAGGACAATAAACCACAGGGTATCATCTGAAGATAATGAAGCTAGGTTTATCATTCCTTGATAATGAACCACGGTCGACGAGGATTTCGCACCTACCCTCATCATTGTCGTCTCCATTTGGTCCCCGTGCACTTCCATTCCCCTTCCTGCACCTCCTCTCGTTATCGGAATCCCTCCCCTCGGATTTCTATTTTCCCTTGGTCCTCATCGTTCTGAGGTCGGACCGGAACGGAACGTTCTCGGCGAGGCGCAGCTCGCCATCACCATGGACATCAACAAGGTTTTCATAGTCATACTCGTCATCATCACCACCTCCACCTCCACCTTCGGACCACCCAAGAGGAAAACCACCCAGGTGGAGCACCTCTTGGTCTCCTCCTGCTCCTCCTCCTCCTGCTCCTCCTCCTCCTCCTCCTCCTCCACCTTCGGACCACCCAGGAGGAGGAGGAGGAGGAGGAGAAGGAGGAGGAGGAGGGGGACACGTCATCACCATCGTCATCGACAGCAGCTTTAGAATCACCATCGTCATCAACATGGTCATCGATATCATCAGCAGGTCGATGCATGTCATCGGCATCGTCATCAGCAGCATGTTCAAAACCATACTCGTCATCACTATCGTCATCAGCAAGATGTTGATATATTTTGATAGTCATACTCGTCATCACCATCGTCACCAACAGCATCCTCAGAGCACGGCGTGTCATCAGCATCGTCATCAGCAGCATCTTGGAAGTAATTCTTGTCATCAGCATGGTCATCAACAAGGTCTTGATAGTCATACTCGTCATCACCACCACCTCCACCTCCACCTTCGGAACACACAGGAGGAGGACCATCCAGAAGAAACACTTCTTGGTCTCTCCCCTCCTCCTCCTCCTCCACCTTCGGACCACCCAGGAGGAGGAGGAGCAGGAGGAGGAGGAGGAGCATGAGGAGGAGGAGGAAGAGGAGACGTCATCACCATCGTCATCGACAGCAGGTTGAGAATCACCATCGTCATCAGCATGATCATCGATATCATCAGCAGGTCAATGCATGTCACCGGTATCGTCATCAGCAAGATTTTGATGGTCATACTCGTCATCGCCATCGTCACCAACAGCATCCTCAGAGCACGGCGTGCCATCAGCATCGTCATCAGCAGCATCTTGAAAGTAATACTCATCATCAGCATTGGCATCGGCCGTTTCTTCAGGCTGATGCATGTCATCAGCATCGTCACCAGCATCAGCTCAGTCTTCCGTAGATGGTCTGAGGCTCAAGCACTGTTGTGTTGCAAGGTTCACGCCGTGTTCCCTGACGATGCCGAGGGATGGGGAAAAGATCAAGAAGAGCACCAGGACCCCAGCCCAGCTCGCAGCCAACAACGGTTGGAAGGTCCCCGCCCCTTCCGTGAAAGGAGCCTTCGTCACAAGCAGGCGGCCCCGATGGCTTCCATTTGACTTCGCGAGAAGATGGCGGCAGACGAGAAGAAGACGGCTGACAAGGAGGCGGCGCGGCGCAGCCGTGAGAAGAGGCGCTTGGAGAAGCTCAACAAAGAGGCGGTTGTGATGAAGCGCCCTGCCGAAAAGCAGGGTTCCTCGAGCTCGTCTTCAGCGTCTTCTTCGTCCACGTCGTCGTCAGGCGTCGAGGGCAGCGGTGCCTCCTCGGACCCCGACTGAGCGAGCAAGAGGGAGCCAGCTTACGGTGTCTTCCCAAAGAAAAAACATCGTCGTGAACCACAACCAAGAGAGCTGAGGAACCACGAGGAAGCAATAGGATTCAACGACGCAGCATCCACGAGTTGCCGCTAGCAGGCTTGCGTTCCAGCATGACACGGTTGGGGGTGCAGTAGGGGAGCCTGAACAAGCATTCCAGGAGGATCCCCGAGGAAAGGCCCAGGGGGGGACGCGCGAACGACCTACGAGAGGCTTCTGGAGGACCCCCGTTAAGGAACCCGAGAGAAAACCTAGCAGGTTGGGAAACGTAGGAAACCCGTTAACCAATCATAACACGGAGTCCTCTCCTCATTGCTGGCGTTTTGGCTCAAAGAAGGTTTGCGCCCAGACGGCCGCGACTCCGCCCGCTTCACCACGTCGCGTCTCTCGCTGTCCACGCCAGTCGGTTGAATGGCGGCGCCGGCAGGTGTCCCCGTCGAGCGCCGCGTGCGCCCGCGCCCGGCCGCGGCGGCTGGCAGCGCCGACGTAGAGATGTGGAAAGACGATGAGCTTGACGTGCTGAACGCCAGCTTCTTGACGTTCCAAGTTCTGGCAGAGGCTACAGGGCCGAAGGTCGCCCTCTTGGAGGAGACCAAGCGGCTGGCGAACAAGTTGGCACTGGACTTCGGCGAGGCTTGGGCGAGCGTGGATCTCGTCAAAAAGAATGCATTGTCCATTGTCGCTCTGTGCGTGGACTCGGGCATGACCTGGGGCCCAAAGAGCGACTTCCTCCTCGCCCGCGTTGTTGGCTTGCTCTGCGAGGACGAGCTTCGCGCTCGCCCCGATGTCGCGTGCGAGCTCGAGGACGGGGCCTGGCTGGCCGTCGGCGCGACGCTTCAGCACCTCGTCATCCGCGTGGAGCAGGCGATGACGGCGGCCAAATTCGTGCTGGAAGGAGGCGGCGAAGGCGGAAGTGGAACGTACCTGGGCGAGCGTCATTCCCTACTTGACGAACTTCCAGGAGTGGGCGAACTTCGCCCCCGTGGAAGACTTCGAGCTGCGCAACGCGAAGCATTGGGCAACCGCGGCGGCGTATTCGCTCTCCAACATGCCATGGCGTTTCGCGAATGCAACGAAAGGGCACGGCGCCTTGAAGGCGTGCGCCGAGTTCTTTCAGCAGGGCCGCCCTGTCACGGAGCACACCATATTATGCTTTGACGATGCGTGCGCTAAACTACCCTCTGCCGCGGGTGGAACGCAATGTGGTGGGGACATTGAGTGCATCCAGAAAGCAGCGAAGAACGATTGCTACATCCACATGGGATGCCCCCTGCGCAACCACCTGGCCTACAAGCCGCCCGACGCCGACCGAAAGCAGCTTCCTATGGCGCTAATGACTGTGTTCGCGGGGAACCCCGAAGGCCGTCGCATGGTGCGCGCGAGCGACATCCTCGGCCTCCTGGGGAAGCAGGACGCGCGCGTCTGCTTGTGCCATATCGGGGGCGGTGGCAATTCCAAGTCCCTGCTTGCTGTCCTCCGTCACAGCGTCTTTTCGGATGCCCACAAGTGCATCCCGTCCACGTGCTTCGAGAACGAGGAGGAGCATCGCAAGCAGGGTTTCAATTTTGCATGCTGTCGGGCCGCCACTACACAGGAGGCGCCCACGACGACGGCGGCGCGCAGCGATTTGCTGAAGAACACGTTCTCGGGCGGAGAGTGCCCCGCGAGGCCGAACTACGGCAAGGTGGCTCTAATGGTCAACCTGCGGAACACCGCGTTCAATTCGGAGTGCAACAATGCCCCGCGCGTGAAGGTCCCCGACGCGCTCAAGCTCGATTCCATGACCAGGCGGTCGAGGATTGTGGACTACTTCTCCGCTTTCGAAGCAGACCCCGCGAAGGTGAACGTGCAGGAGAAGCGCTTCGAGCGGCAGGCGGGGGCTTGGGCCGCGCGCGAGTGATTTGACTAGGCGTCGGCAGGTCAGTATGGCGGGGATGCGCCTGAGTCGCTCGCGCTTGTTCTGACTGAGTGCGCGCGTAGACAGACGCGCGCATATTCTTTTAGATTAGCACGAGCATGCCAATCATATGCACTATGCGAGGGGCGTTACATTTTAAGTGAGTCGATCAGATGATGACGCTGACCAAAAAGCAGGGGCATCGATATGCGCGCGCAATATATATATATATATATATACACACGTATACACATATATATATATACATACATATATCTATATTTGTATATATATATATATATATATATATATATATATATCGATGCGCTGGAATTGTATGCTAATATATATGTATATACACCATATATATATATGCATATATATAGATGTGTGTACATATATATATACATGTATAATTACACACAATTACACACATCTATACATATATATATATATATAACGTGTAATATCTATATATATATATATATATATATATATATATATATATATAACGCTGGGGTACGGGAGGCCCGGGACACAGGCCGGGACACTCTCCCAGATTTCGTTTCCCCCCCTGCTTTGGCCCACGAGATGTTTGACCCCTTCCGGGGCCTCCCGGCATCCCCCCGCTTTCCAAAACAGCTCGGGAGGCCACCAAAAGCGATCAGAGCGACCTGACAGGGCCGAAGGCGCCCAAATGTTGCGACGACAGCTCAAGAGGCCCCGAAGGCGTTCCAAGAAGGCTCCAACATGCACCCCGAGATGGCCCCGGGATGCCGAAATTGTTCCACTCCTGGTCGAAACCGTGCACTTTTAACATTTCCGCATTTTGGTCTTCAAAGCGTCCTAAGCGGCCCAAGAGGCCCCACAGATCGACCCAAGACGGTTCAAGAGGCCTCCAAGAGGACCCAGGACGGCCCAAATCAGACCCGAGACGGTCCAAGAAGCGCCCAAGATGGCCGAAGAGAGCCCCAAGTGGAGCCTAAGAGGGGGAATGCCACTGGACATTCGAGCCCTCCACCACGAACGCGCCCCCGGGCCCGCAGCAGGCGCCCAAGAGGCCCCCAGGGGCCCCCAAAGAGGCCCCGAGAAGCTCCCGCGGGGCCCAAGACAGGCCACGAGAAGCTTCAAAACTCGCTCCACGAGGCGCCAGAGAAGCATGCCAAGAGACCCCAAATTACAGGTATCCGAGAATCATATGTCCAAAACTCAGGGACGGTAGCAGCGTGGCCGAAGGCCGTAGATAAGCATGCAATCGGCTCGTTGACGGGCCCATCCCTGCGCAGACAAGTGGAGCGCAGATCGCGGGTCTCTCTTCATACATTGCGCGCCGCGGGGCGATGCGGAAAGATGGTTGCTGCGGAACCCGCGCGCAGGGGTGCGTTGAACTCCTTGTTGGCCACGATCCGCGTGGAGGATGTACCGAATAATTCGGATACCCCCGAGGCGTGTTCCGAAATGGGCGGGGGGGTGCCGCGCGAAGCTGCCCATTGGCGCCATGGGGGGGGGGCCTCCTCCTGGGGCATGATTCGCGTCGCAGGTGTGCCGACGTGGGCGGGGCGGCGCTGTGCGAACCTTGTCTCTGGGCTTTTAGGCTGTTCTCCTTGCGCGCGCGATCCGCGTGATGGGGTGCGCCGCAACGGCGAGGTGGGGGGCGCAGTGCGAACCCTGCCTCTGGGGCCGCAGGTAGAGATCCCTGTGGGCCATGATCCGCGTGAGAAGCGCGCCGACGCAGGCGGGAATGCGGGATGCGAAGCCTGTCTCTGGGGCCGCTCGTGGAACTCCTTGCGGGCCGCGATCTGTCTGAGAGGGGTGCCGAAGTGAGCGGGGCGGCGCTGCGAAGCTTCCCTATGGCGCCGCAAATGCAGTTCCTTGCGAGGCACGGCCCGCATGGATGGCGAGCCTCTATGCGAACCTTGCCTCTGGGAGCGATGGTGGAGCTCCCTGTGGGGCGCGATCCCTGTGAGAAGTGCGCCGACGTGGGCGTGGGGGCGCTGCGCCAAGTCCGTCTTTGGGGCCGCGAGAGAAGCTTCCTGAGCGGCGCGATCCGCGTGACAATCTACGTCCTCCGGCGCCGAACACTTCGTAGACTGCAACTAGAGCCTTTTAGAACCTCCGCGCGCGAAGCGCGCGCGTGGTTCTAGTGGCAGTCTAATCGTTTACGCATAATGGGGCTATCTGGCGCGCTTATGAGTAGTTCTTATGTTGAGTTCTCATGTTAGGCGCTGGGCCGGAGGCACTGAGAATCACCAGGCCGTTGTTCACGAGCGCCGTCTGCAGTGGCACCATGGTGGGTCTCCTGGGCAGCAGCCTCATTGGAGACCGCAGCGCCAACCATGATGGAGCGCGCAGCGGAGATTTCACCAGACACTGTGCCTTGTCTTCCCGCAGCAATTGCTGCAGCCCTTGCTTTCGCTGGCCTCGCGCCCCGGAGCAAGAATTGCCACGGAGATTTCACTTCCCCACTCGCTGCTGCGTTTCCGCGATGTTCCGCCTGTCGTGCCTTCGGATGCGCGCAGCGGCGGCGGCTGCCCCTGGCTTGGCGGCCTTCCATATCAGGGGTGATGGGCAGCGCGCGCCTTTGCATTGCACCGGTGATGCGCCTCAGTTTCGGTCCGAGATTCGCGCGTCTTGGGACGCAGTCGACGACCATTCCCAGATCCGAGACATATTCGGCAGCGCCGCTGCCGATGTCATCATGCGACATGCAGCGCGCGCTTCCCATCACGAGTTCCCATTCGGCGCGTCGCTCATGGCCCAGCTGATGGCGTGCTCCAACGGCGCCAGCACGCAGATCTTCCCTGGCTCATTGAGCCCGCTCGCGCTGTCGATCTTCAACATGAACTACCCCCAGACGCGCAAGAGCTCCGGCTTCAGCACGGGCAACAAGGTCGCCATCGCCATGGATGAGGCGGCGTTGGAGGAGGCAAAACGGATGGTTGCGACTACCCGTGACGTGGCGATCCCTGTCCCTGACATCCCTCCCGTTCGCGTCAACTCGAACACTCTCACCACCTTTCACCGAGGCTGCGTTTTTCCAGCGGCGCGGCGGGGATTGGGACCAAATTGTGGCTTACACTTCGTACGACGCCCTGGGCCGATGCAAACGCCACCGGCTGGTCAACGTGGATGAGATCTACAAGTACCTGAAGTTGGTTGGCTGCGTGTCCTCTGGCGCGAGTGGGAAGTCGGACGCCGCGGCCGGGTCCGTCGCTGATGCCGCGAGCGAGTTGGACAAATTGTTCCAGACCAGAACTGCGCCACTGGCAACCAAGACAGCTGGGGCGTTCGGTCAGGGAGACGCCCCAACCATCTCTGGGCGTGACAGGGCAACGACCACCCGGCTATCATGATTCCCATGCTGCGGGGAGAGCACGGCTCCGACATTGCCGCGTGCTGCTACCGCCGCATCATCGCGACGGGGGCCCCGGTCGAGCCGCGCCAACTGTCGCCGCGGAGTTTGCTGTTCCCCGTGCACGTGAGGAGGTGGGTGTGGCCGCAACTCCTCGACGCGATGGTCGAACCGCTTGAGCTGCCCGACGGCGTCGCGAAGATGGACGTTGCCCAGCGGGCGCTGCAGCTCGTCCGCTCTGGCCCCGCTGACGCTGAGGACTCCAATGGCGAGGGGGGAGATGACGGCGCCTTCGCGCCCAACGCAGGCGGCTACCGCATCGCGCTCGCGGGCGGCACGGCCACTCGCCTCCGCTCTAAGAAGCAGACGCCACTCGGCCCCGACGCGCCCGCGCGGGTGCCCAAGATCCGCACAGCGAACCGCGACATCCCCATCCCAGCTGACCAAGAGTTGCAATCGCTGGCCAAGCGCGTCCTCGAGTACTTCAGGGAGCCGCACATGGAGGTCCCCTGGAAGCCGGCTGCCCACTTGACGTTCAAGAGGTTCCAGACCGTCTTCGATGCGCAGGCCGCCAAAGCGCGGGACAGCGACGCTGCCGGCGCGGTGGGGGAGGCGGCCTGGCTCGGGGCCGCCCCCTGGCACTTGGGGATGTTGACGGTTGCCCTGCTCGTTCTCGAGATTGCCGTCGAGGTTGACGACGCGCCCGCCGCTGCCGGCGGCGCCGCCGCCGCTGCCGGCGGCGCCGTCGATGCGCTGCTGCCGCAGGCCCTGGCCCAGAGGCACGTGGAGGTCAGCCACTGCGCTCGCGCGCATGACCCCCTCAGGCTTTTCCATCGCCTCTTCGACGACGGGCGCGCCAACCCCGACCGCAGGGGGCCCCGGATTACGCTCGAGCTCCCCCCCGCGCAGGACGAGGAGGCCGTTCGTGCTTACCACAAACGCCTGATGGGCCTCTGCGGCATCGGCTACACGTCGCTGTGCAAAGCCATCCGCAAGAGGAGCCAGCGCAAGGCCGCGGAGCCGAGGGCGCTGGCCCAGCGGTTGGCTTTCCCGAACATCAAGTATGTCATCGACCATCTGCATTCTCGTGGGCACGTGGACCCCCGGTGCCTTGAGAACTGCGTGGCCGGCGCCGAGTGCAACCAAGCTCTTCTCGAGGGAGTCAACGCGTCCGTTTGCGAGCAGACCTTCAGCCGCCTTGGCCAGCATAAGTTCGCCATCCGCTGGATGGACCGCCTGACTTCAGTTATGTTTTTGCACGAAATGGCGGAAGTGCGCAACCAGCGTTGGCTGGCCAAGAACTAAGGTGCCCGAGTGGCCGACGTGACGTCCGATGATGCGTCAGACGCGTCGTTTCTCATGATCTGCAGTGCGCGATTGCTTTGGACCTCTAGCGCTGGTCGTTTAATGCCCCGCCCGGCCGACAGGCGTTTTCGGCGGTGGCGATATATCCCGCCCCAGCCTTATCTGATCACATAGCCGATGTTCGATGTTATGTCCCGCCCGCCCGACCGAATGCCCAATCCCTGGCTGAAGATGTCATTTAATGTCCCGCCCGCTCGACCGGCGTCTCCGGCGGTTGCGATAGATGTTCATCAAGCCGTGTCCAATCACATGGCGAAAGTAACGTTCAATGTCCCGCCCGCCCGCCCGACTGAATTCCCCAAAATGCCATTTCTGAAAGGCGGTTGCATTTCATATCCCGCACGCCCGACTCGCGTTGTCGGCGGTTGTAACATCATTTCCTCCTACCTTGGCCCATCATGAAGGCTACATTTAATGCCCCGCCCGCCCGGCCGGACGCCCCATCCCTGAGTGAAGGTTTCGTTTAATGTCCCGCCCGCCCGACCCGCGTCGGTGGTTGCGAGATATGTTCCTAAAGTTTTGTCCCATGACAGAGGGAAGGCTACATTGGATGTTCCGCCCGCCCGCCCGACTGAACTCCCCATTGCTGAGTGACGATTGTATTTCATGCACCGTCCGCCCGATCCGCGCATTCGGCGGTTGTAACATAGTTTCCCCCTACCTTGGCCCATCACATATTGAAGGTTACATTCAATGTCCCGCCGGCCCCACTGAACGCCCCATCCCTGAGTGAAGGTTTACGGCCTTACGGCCAGTGCCGCCGACCCTGAACGACGACGACGACGACGACCCAGGCCCTGGGACCGTCAAGAGACGGCTTGACCAAGCCTCGGCGGCAGCAGGGAGGAGTAGGAGGAGGAGGAGGAGGAGGAGGAGGAGGAGGAGGAGGAGGAGGAGGTTGAGGACGAGGAGGAGGAGGATTAGGAGTTGGAGTAGGAGGAGGAGGAGGAGGAGGAGGAGGAGGAGGAGGAAGAGGAGGAGGAGGAGGAAGAGGAGGAGGAGGAGGAGGAAGAGGAATTGGAGGAGGAGACCCCTCACACCCCGGACACCCCGGACACCCTAGACACCCCAGACACCCCCGACGACGACGACGGCGGCGGCGGCGGCGGCGGCCGATGCGGCGACGGCGACGGCGACGGCGACGACGAAGACGATGGCGGCGGCGCACGGCGAACCGCGACGACGACGTCGACGACGCAAGGCTTCATGTAAGGTCCCGCCCGCCCACCCGACTGAATTCCCCATTCTTGATTGAATGTTGCATTTCGTGTCCCGCCCGCCCGACGGCTCCACCATAGTTTCTCCCAACCTTGTCCCATGTCAGAGTGAAGGTTACATTTAATGTCCCGCCCGCCCGACCGAACGCCCCATCCCTGAGTGAAGGTTGCATTTAATGTCCCGCCCGCCCGACCGAACGCCCCATCCCTGAGTGAAGGTTGCATTTAATGTCCCGCCCGCCCGACCGAACGCCCCATCCCTGAATGAAGGTTTCATGTAATGTCCCACCCGCCCGACCCGCATTTTCGGTGGTTGGAACATTATTTCTTTTTGCCTTGGCGCACCACGCAGTGAAGGTTACATCTAATGTCCCACCCGCCCGACCAGCCGCCCCATCCCTCAGTGAAGGTTTCGTTTAATGTCCCGCCCGCCCGACTGGCGTCTTCGGCGGTGGCGATATATCCCGCCCCAGCCGTATCTTATCACATAGCCGATGTTCGATGTTATGTCCCGCCCGCCCGACCGAATGCCCAATCCCTGGGTGAAGATGTCATTTAATGTCCCGCCCGCTCGACCGGCGTCTCCGGCGGTTGCGATAGATGTTCATCAAGCCGTGTCCAATCACATGGTGAAAGTTACGTTCAATGTCCCGCCCGCCCGCCCGACTGAATTCCCCCAAATGCCATGTCTGAGTGGTGGTTGCATTTCATATCCCGCACGCCCGACCCGCGTTGTCGGCGGTTGTAACATCATTTCCTCCTACCTTGCCCATCATGAAGGCTACATTTAATACCCCGCCCGCCCAGCCGGACGCCCCATCCCTGAGTGAAGGTTGAGTTTAATGTCCCGCCCGCCCGACCCGCGTCTTCGGCGGTTGCGAGATATGTTCCTAAAGTTTTGTCCCATGACAGAGGGAAGGCTACATTGGATGTCCCGCCCGCCCGCCCGACTGCACTCCCCATTGCTGAGTGACGGTTGTATTTCATGTACCGTCCGCCCGATCCGCGCATTCGGCGGTTGTAACATAGTTTCCCCCTACCTTGGCCCATCACATATTGAAGGTTACATTCAATGTCCCTCCAGCCCCACTGAACGCCCCATCCCTGAGTGAAGGTTTACGGCCTTACGGCCGGTGCCGCCGACCCTGAACGACGACGACGACCCAGGCCCTGGGACCGTCAAAAGACGGCTTGACGACCCAAGCCCCGGAGGCAGCAGGGAGGAGTAGGAGGCGGAGGAGGAGGAGGAGGAGGAGGAGGGGGAGGAGGACGAGGAGGAGGAGGAGGAGGAGGAGGAGGAGGAGGAGGAGGAGGAGGAGTTAGGGGGAGGAGGACGAGGAGGAGGAGGAGGAGGAGGAGGAGGAGGAAGAGGAAATGGAGGAAGAGATCCCGGACACCCCGGACACCCCGGACACCCCGGACAACCCGGACACCCTGGACACCCCATGACCCCGAAAACGCCGGACACGCCGGACACCCCGGACACCCCGGACACTCCGGCACTCCGGACACGTCCCCTGGACACGCCGGACACCCCGGACACCCCGGACACCCCGGACATCCCGGACACCCCGGACACCCCGGACACCCCGGACACGCCGGACACCCCGGACACCCCGGACACCCCGGACACCCCGGACACCCCGGACACGTCCCCCGGACACCCCGGACACCCCGGACACCCCGGACACCGGACCCACAGAGGACTATAGTCCAAACAATTGGCCGATCGACGCCGTCTCGGGGTCCGAACGTTGGGGGTTCAAGAGGAGGAGGAGGAGGAGGAGGAGGAGGAGGAAGAAGAAGAAGAAGAAGAAGAAGAAGAAGAAGAGGCGGAGGAGGGAGGAGGAGGAAGAGGGGAAGAGGAGGAGGAGGAGGAGGAGGAGGAGGAGGAGGAGGAGGAGGGACATCTGGCCCTGGGAAGAGGCGGGAGGCCTGGGCGGCGGGAGTTTTCTCGGGCACCGGAAGAGGGGGAGGAGAGAGAAGGGAGGAGGCATTGCATTTCATTGCATTGCATTGCGTTGCATTGCATTGTGTTGCGTTGCGTTGTGTTGCGTTGCGTTACATTGCAAATCATTGCACCGTGCTGCCATGACTTGTCTTGCGTTGCATCCTGTGTTGCATTGCATTGCGTTGCACTACTTTGGAACACACTGCATTGCGTTGTGTTGCATTGCATTGCATTCGTAGTACTTTGCGCTGCACTGAGATGCGGGCGAGGGGGAGGAGGGGGAGACAGGGAAGAAGGGGAACAGGAGGCAAAGAGGAGGGGAGGAAGGAGGAGTGACGAGGAAGGAGGAGGAGTGAGAAAGGATGAGGCGGGAGGGGGGAAGGATGAGGGAGGATGGAAGAGAGGGACCAGAGAAGGACGATGAAGAAAGGATGGTGGTGTTGATCGCTTATCTGGCCATTCTCATCGTCGCCGTCGTCGTCGTTGTCGTCGTCGTGGCATACTCCGCCACTGCGTCTCGGGTACTCCAGAGTCCTCTGCAACCCGTACATGGCGAGAAGAGTGGAATCGCATTTGTCTTCGGACACCGCGGCGCTGCCACGTGACGGGTAGAGTGGAATATTCTTTGCCCTCCCAGGCACTGCCATGTGACGAGTGGGGCGGGATTGTTTTTTCTTGGGCCGCTGCGGCGCTGACGCTAGCACGCGACGAGGCGCGCATTGCGTTACAGTGCCGTGCGTTGCAATGCGTCACATTGTATTGCATTGCGCTGCGATGCGTTGCGCTGCATTGCATTGCACTGCGTTGCATTGCTTTTCACTGCATAATCATCATCAGCAGCATCATGATCATGATCATCAGCATCAGCACCATCATCATCATCATCAGCATCAGCATCAGTATCAACATCATCATCATCACCATCACCATCATCATCATCATCATCATCATCATCATCATCATCATCATCATCATCATCATCATCATCATCATCGTGGTCATCGTCGTCGTCATCGTCATCATCGTCATCGTCGTCATCATCGTCATCATCATCGTCACCACTACCACAACCACCACCATCATCATCATCATCAACAACATCATCATCGTCATCGTCATCGTCATCGTCATCGTCATCATCATCAATATCCTTACCAGCATTGCCACAATAACCACCATCGTCACCATCTGACACATTGCTTTCAATCAACACCATCATCATCACCATCACTATAATCCTCCATCATCATCTGTCAGAAATATCCTCGCCACCGCACTGCCCGACGCATCCCAGAAGGCCTTGTGCAACCCGGGGTCGTGGTCTCGATCGGGCGGATGGGTTTTTGATGGTGGTCGTGTTGATGGTCGGGTTGGTGGCCGTCGTGGCAATGGTCACGCTTGTGGTCGTGATGGTGGCAATGTTCCTGGTCGCGGTGGTAGTCGTGCTAGTGGCTTGTGATGGCGACCGCGACTCCTGACAGCCCCCCCCTGCCCCTCTTGCATTGGTGGTCGTGCGGAGTGTTTTTGCGGGAGGTCGCGCCGGTGGTTCGTGCTGCCGGTTGTGTTCCTCTCCTGTCCGTCCTGGCGCGTCCTGGCGGTGGTCGTGCTGGTGGTCGCAGTGGTGGTCCTGCTGGTGGTCGTGATGGTGGGCTTGTTCGCGTGGCCTTCAGATGTGAAAAGCGTGGTTTGCCTGTGAGAATCGGCTGGTTACTCTGGCTGCCCCATGATAGGCGCATTTGTTTGTAGCAGTCTTTCTGCGAACTACTACTAGTACTACTGCTGCTGCTGCTGCTACTACTACTACTACTACTACTACTACTACTACTACTACTACTACTACTACTACTACTACTACTACTACTACTACTACTACTACTAACTAGCTACTACTACTACTACTACTACTACTACTACTACTACTACTACTACTACTACTACTACTACTACTACTACTACTACTACTACTACTACTACTACTACTAACTACTACTACTACTACTACTAACGACTACTACGACTACTGCTGCTACTACTAACCACCACCACCACCACCACACACCACCACCACCACCACCACCACCACCACCACCACCACTACTACTACTACTACTACTACTACTACTACTACTACTACTACTACTACTACTACTACTACTACTACTACCCCATCACAAAAAAACACATCGAAGTGATAATTCTCCAGGTAACCAACGCAAAACCCTCTGCGGCGCCTTAATGGGTTCGCGCACGCAGGCACGCGCACGTGCAAAGCCGAATCTTTGTGTTCGGGCGGCGAAGTGTCGTACCCCTCGCGAAAGACGGCTACGGGCAGGTGGATAGCACGATGTACCAACATCCTTGACAGTGGCTAGCGCACGGAGCCAATTTCACACACGCACACAAACGCGCACGCACAGAGCAAGCCAGCGCCCACTCAGAATACCATTGCTGCGAACGCGTTGTTCCCCGATTGTTTTCCCACAAAACCATCAGGGCCCTTGAGGACACAACACTGGCACTCCAAATGTTCTAAAAGATGGCATACAATCGAAATCGTTTGCGCAAGGTCTTCCGAAACTTACGTTCCAAAAACAATCTCTCCCGGTCAACCGGGAAATGGCCCGCAAAGTTAACAAGTATTTTGCCCATCCAACCGAGGAGTAGACTACTGCCACGGAAGGAGGGATGAGGAAGGAGCGAAGAGAGATATTGGCGAGGAGGGGGGGTGGGAGGATGTGTGCTGCGCGAGCGCAGAGGAGCGAGGACGAGAAGAGGAGAGGATTAAGGCGACGAGGTGAGCGAGGCGGAGAACCACGAGGAGGAGGAGGATGATGAGGAGGAGGAGGACGAGGAGGAGGAGAAATAGGAAGAGGGGCAGGCGGAACAGGAGGAAGAGGAAGAGGAGGAGGATGATGAGGAGGAGGACGAGGAGGAGAAATAGGAAGAGGGGCAGGCGGAACAGGAGGAAGAGGAAGAGGAGGAGGAGGAGAAGGAGGAAGAGGAGGCGGAGGAGGGAGAGGAAGGAGGAGGAGGATGAGGTGGTGGGGAACGCGAGAGGACATGCCCCCCCGGCTTCCGTCGAAAAATTCCCGCCTCGTCGGTCGTGCCGGCGCAGATACCATACCCCGGGTACCTTCGGGGCCGCATCACTGCTTCCGCCCCCCCCGCTCGACGACGACGACACCGACGCCGACCACGACGACGACGACGACGACGATGACGACGACCGCGATGGCGACGACGAGCGACGACCCCCACTGACAACCGTCTAAAAATCAAATTCTGGAACCCCTCCCCAGCACCATCCTGACCCGCATGAGACATCCCCGCTTCAATGGGCGGCCCCACGACATTTTGTCCTGCCGCCAAGGTCCAAGCTGGGCAGGGAGCTCGAGCCTGCGGGAACCGTTGATCGATGAAGACCGACCCCCAGACCTGTCCCGAGCACCATGCCAACGCGTTTGCAGACATGCGCCCAGGCGAAGGAGGGGGGGAGGCCTCCCCGAGGCCCAGAGGAGCAGGAGGAAGCTCGAACACTCCTGGAAGGAGGACCGCGGAGAATAGGGGTCCCGCAGCCGTCCTCCAGCTACGCCGAAATACGCATGAAATGCGAGAGAATAGTGGTCCTGCACTGGCCAGCGCACGAAATGCGCCGCCTGCACCAGCCCTGGCGCCTGGGGGCTCCCCCGGGAACCAAAAACCCGAGGGAGCCCCGAGATGCGCAGCCCAGCCCTCGTCTCCTCTCTGCCCCTGGCTAGAGCCAGGGGGATGGGCCGCTCAGCCCCGCAAGGCTGCGCACGCCGCTCACGCCGCCGCGGCCTCGTCAGCCGCGCGCGTGCACGGCGCCCTCGCACTTTTTCCGCAGCTGTGCGAGGAAGCCTCTCTCGGGGTCCATGTGTAGCCCTCTCAGCCCCACGCCAGCCTGCGGCCGCCGCCGCCGCCCTCGCCGCGCTTGTATAGCCCTTGCCGCCCTCGCCCTTCAGGACAGGCGGGACGTGCCACGACGGCACCGCCTCGCTGATAAACGTGTGCCTCCTGGCGGCCGCGCGCTCCGCCATGCACTCGTCGGCGTGGCCGTACTGGGAGGTCTCCTGGGCCACAAACTGCTGCACCTCGTCGGCCCGCATCTGGGCCAACCACTCCTCGACCATCCTGGCGGCCTCACGTTCTACAGTCGGGGCGTTGACCTAAGGAACCCTAAATAAGGAGCGAGGCCCATTTTTTCCATAAGTAACCTTCGATTTCCTGTCGGAAACCTAGGGGAAACCTAAGGCAAGCTGTCAAACAATCAAGGAACACGGAGCCCCTCCCCAACGAAAAGGGTTCCTTCTTCAGGGCCCCGACTGTAACCAGGGCTCGCCCTCCTCCAGCTCCTCCTGCACGCGGACCTCGACGAGGCCCTCGCCCTCCTCCTGGCTGTGCGGCCGCTGTCCGTGGCCATCGGCTTGCTTCGCCAGGTCGTCGGCCCCCTGGGCCACCGACTTCTACGCACTGGCCATCGCTCGGACGTCCGTTCCCTGTGTTTTCTTCGGTTTCTTGCGTGTTTTTGTTCGCCAAATGGTCAAGGATGCTTGCTCCTCGATGGTCCCCGCCGAAGGAAACATGCATACGTCCGAGCGATGCCAAGCCTCCTGCACGCGGACCTCGGCGAGGACCCCGCCCTTCTCCTGGAGGCGTGTCTCCCGCCCGTGGCCGTCAGACCCGACGATCTTTGCCTCGCAGTGCTGCTCCTCCTGCATCTCAGCGACGCCGCCGCTCCCCGCGCTCGACGGCGAGGTGGCGCGCCGAAACCGACGGCCGCGCTGAGTGCTCTTGGCGCTACCCGGGGCCTCCACCAGGCCGTCGGGCCCCGCGCCGAACCCGTGGTGCGCCGAGGCGTCCCCGGTCGCTGTGCACGCCCCGTCTGGGGCCTCGCCCTGGACCTCGCGGAGCATGGCAGGCGCTATTCTCGCGCTGCGGGCCCCCAGCTCCGCCAGCGACTCCGTCTCGGCCCACCGCGCCCACCTTCGGGTCCTCCAGGGCGCAGACGGCTTCCGCAGTGGCTGCAGAGACAGCGTGACGCCCTCCTCCACCATGGGCCGCCGCCAAGCCTGCGGCGCACACCAACATCGCATCCCCAGGAAGGGGCGGGACCCGCGGCATTCCGCTAGCGCTGGACTGGCCGGCGCGCGCGCGTGGATGGCTCTTTGAGCCAACATGGCTACGGAGCAGGAGGAAGAGGAAGAGGAAGAGGAGAAGAGGAGGAAGAGGAGGAGGTGGAGGAGGGGGAGGAAAAGGAGGAGGTGGATGAAGATGAGGAGGATGGGGAGGAGGAGGAGGACGAGGAGGAGAAGGATGAAGATGAGGAGGATGGGAAGGAGGAGGAGGAGGAGGAGGAGGAGGAGGAGGAGGAGGAGGGAGGATAGAGGAGTAGGAGGAGGAGGAGGAGGAAGAGGAGGAGGAACTGGAGGAGCAGCAGCAGGAGGAAGAGGAAGAGGAAGAGGAGGAGGAGGAAGAGGAGGAGGGGGAAGAGGAGGAGGAGGAGGAGGAGGAGGAGGAGGAGGAGGAGGAGCACCAGGAGGAAGAGGAGAGCGGCGGCGGCGACCCGACGGGCGACTACGACACCGACGACGAACGGCATCGACGACGACCCAACGGCAGAAGATGAAAACCAGGGACAACGGAGGACGGACGCGACGACACACCACAACGACACACCACGACGACGACGACGACGACGACGACGACGACGACGACGACGACGACGAGGCCGGCGGTCACGATGACGACCGAGGGACGACGACCACCGACCGGCGGCTCATGACCGACGTCGACGACGGACGACGGACGACGACAGCGACGACGACGCCCGCGACGCCGTCGCACGACGGCACTCCACGGCCAGCACGTGGACCTGCCCGCGAGGGGCGGGGACGGCGCAAGGGGGAGCGCAGGGGTGCCAGCACTGGGGCTCGCGCGTTGCGCGCGGCGGGAGGCGCGACGTCGCGTCGGCCGAGGTCGCCCGCGGAGGGCTCGCGTCGTGGTGGCGTCGACGCCTCCTCGCTCCTCCTCGCCCTTCCTCCTCGCTCCTCCTCGCTCCTCCTCCTCCTCCTCCTCCTCTTCCCCCTCCTCCTCTTCCTCCTCCTCCTCTTCCTCTTCTCCTCCTCCTCCTCCTCCTCCCTCCGCCTCCTCCGCCTCCCCTCCTCCTCCTCCTCCTCCTCCTCCTCCTCCTCCTCCTCCTCCCTCCCCTCCTCCTCCTCCTCCTCCTCCTCCTCCTCCTCCTCCTCCTCCTCCTCCTCCTCCCTTCCCATCCTCCCTCATCTTCCCTCCTATCTCAACCTCCTCCTCCTCCTCCTCCCTCCTCCTCCCCTCCTCCTCCTCACTCCTCGCTCCTCCTCCTCCCCTCTTCCTCCTCCTCCCCTCCTCCTCCTCTCGCTCCTCCCCCTCCCCCTCCCCCTCCCCTCCCCCTACCCCCCTCACCCCTCTACCACTCCCCCCCCCACCCGGGAAACGGAAACCCTGCCCCCTCCTCCCTCCTCCTACTTCCTCCACTCCTCCTCCTCCTCCCTCCTCCTCCTCCTCCTCCTCCCTCCTCCTCCTCCTCCTCCCTCCTACCTCCTGTCTGTGCTCCTCCTCCTCCCCCCCTCCCGCCTCTCCTCCTCCTCCTCCTCCTCCTCCTCCTCCCTCCTCCTCCTCCTCCTCCTCCTCCTCCGCCTCCTCCTCCTCCTCCCTCCTCCTCACTCCTCTTCCTCCTCCTCCTCCTCCTACTCCCTCTCCTCCTCCTCCTCCTCCTCCTCCTCCCTCCTCCTCCTCCTCCTCCTCCTCCTCCTCCTCCCTCCTCCCTCCTTACTCTCGCTCGCTCCTTCCCTCCTCCTCCTCCTCCTCCTCCTCCTCCTCCTCCTCCTCCTCCTCCTCCTGACTCTCGCAGACATCGCGCTCTCACCACTCAGGAACCTTTCGGAGCTGCGCTCCCAGGCCTTGGGCCTCCCAACTTCGCGCCCTCGCGCCCCGCGGTGCGCGGCGGGCTTCGCGCCCTCGGGCCGCGGGCCCTGGAGACGGGCGCCTCTCCGACCCAAGCAGCGATGCGACTCTGGGGATGCCCGAGGTCTCCGCAGCTCGCGCGCTGGCCCCTCACAGCCTGACGCCCTTCGGCGGTGGACAAACCTCCCTTTAGTAGACCTCCCCTAAATGAAAACGGCCTGGGACCGAAATCGACGAACCTAGACCCGCAAAAATGACGGCCGCGACGCCCTCTCGCGAACCGAAAACGGCCAATTCCTTAATTGACGTGTCAGGGTAGGAGGTCTGTCCACACCCTGACGCCCTGACCCCCTTGGGCAACAAAAAGGCAGCGATCTGTGCTGAAGCAGGGCTCAATGCGCTTCCTAAGCGAGGCCACGCCCTGCGTAGAGGAGTCCAGGGGAGCCCAATGCCGGCACTGCTGCGAACATCTGTGTGCTCTTTCTCTCTCTCTCTCTCTTTCTCTCTCTCTCTCTCTCCCCATCTCTTCTCTCTCTCTCTCTCCCTCTCTTTCTCTTTCTTTCTCTCTTCCTCTCTTTCTCAAGGAGCCCACACAGAACGTACGCTCCCAACCACGTCCGCGAGACCAGCCTCGTGACACGAACGCTCGCGCAATGCGTACTTTCGAAATCAACGGGGATCCATGTACGTGTATGTAGGAGGAGGAGGGGGAGGAGGAGGAGGAGGAGGAGGAGGAAGAAGAGGAGGAGGAGGAGGAGGAGGCGTGTACGTCCTTCTTTCGCTCCCGATCTCTCCCCCTCTGCTGGGGCACAGCGGCTCGCCGATCCGGACCGCGAGGCCCGCGCGGTCAGCATTGTCGGGGCGGGACGGCTGTGCAAGGCCACCTCCCTCCCCCCTTCCCTGCCCACGAAGCTCGTCCGCGTCCTCGTCATCGTCCTCCTCCTCCTCTTTTTCTCTCCTCGTTCCCTTCTCCTTCTAAATGACTCCTCCCTGTCGCGCGCCGAGACATGTCGGTAGGGCGGGCCGTGCGTTTCGCCTGAGGCCCCCTCACCATGCATTACCCTGAAGCTGAACATTTGCAACAACTTCACGGATGGAGGGCGGGTCGATTTCAGAATGTGGCTCTCGCCTTAGCGCCGCGCAAATTTGTCCTGCAAATTTGCAAGAGCTTCACGGATGGAGGGCGGCGCCTTTTCAACATGTGGTTCCCGCCTTAGCGCCGCGCACATTCGTCTTACGAAATAACAAGAGTTTCGCGGATGGGGGTCGGCACCTTTTTAAAATGTTGCTCTCGCCCCAGTACCGCGCACATTCGTCTTAAAACATTGCATGGGCTTCACGGATGGAGGGCGGTTTCCATCATGTGGCTCTCGCCCTAGCGCCGCGCACATTCGTCTTAGGAACTTCCACCAGTTTCAAGGATTCTTGTGGTTAGCGTCCCAGAAATGCTGTCATGGCACGATGTATGACAATCAAGGTGCAACTATTACTTTTGTTCGCAGTGTTGAAGTCCTGGGAATGGTGCTCTGGCACGGCTCAGGATCGTCAGGACGCAACAATAACGTTGATTCGCGGCGTTGAAATCACAGGGCTAGTGTTCTGGCACGGTTCAGGATGTTCAAACAGCTGTCCTCCAACGGGGCACTTCCCCCCGCGCACATGAATCCTCGTAGGCGACTATGAAAAGGGAACGTGGAACGAGGGCGTATTGCAGCATCGTTGATGAGTCTTGGGTTTGCACTGGTCCCTCCTCCTCCTCCTCCTCCCCCTCCTCCTCCTCCTCCTCCTCCTCCTCCTCCCCCTACTCCTCCTCCTCCTCCTCCGACCCATCCTCCTTCATTCTTCTCCTTACAGATAACTCCTCCCTGTCGCACCCAGGCCAGTTTTTAGGGCGGGCCGGTCGTTTCGCCTGAGACTTCCTCACCATGTCTGGCTCTGAAGCTTAAAACATGATAACAGCTTCACGGATTGAGGGCGGGCCATTTTCAAAATGTGGATCTCGCCTTAGCGCCGCGCACATTCGTTTAAACATTTGCAAGAGCTTCACGGATCGAGGGCGGGTCGTTTTCAAACTGTGGCAGCGCCGCGCACATTCGTTATACAAATGTGCAGGAGCTTCGCGGATTTAAAGCGGGTGGTTTTCACCATGTGGCCCTCGCCTCAGCGCCGCGCGCATTCGTTTAAACATTTTCCAAAACTTTCACGGATTGAGGGCGGGTGGTTTTCAAAATGTGGCTCTCGCCTTAGCACCGCGCACATTCGTTTTCAGAATGTGCAAGAGCTCCACGAATTAAGGACGGGTCGTTTTCAACATGTAACTCTCACCCCAGTGCCGCGCCCTTCTGAAAAATGCAAAAGTTTGACGGATTGAGGGCGGGTCGTTTTCAAAATGTGACTCTCGCCTTAGCGCCGCGCACATTCGTTTTAAGAATGTGCAAGAGCTCCACGGATTGAGGGCGGGTCGTTTTCAACATGTGGCTCTCACCCCAGTGCCGCGCCCTTCTGAAGAATGCAAAAGTTTGACGGATTGAGGGCGGGTCGTTTTCAAAATGTGACTATCGCCTTAGCGCCGCGCACATTCGTTCAAAGAATTTGCAAGAGCTCCACGGATTGAGGGCGGTTCCTTTTCAAAATGTGGAGCTCGTCCTAGCGCAGCGCATATTCCTTAAGATTTGCAACCAACAGTTTCACGGAATCCCATGATCAACGTACCAGACATGGTCTTTTGGAACGATTCAGGATTATGCGGGCGCAACAGCTATTTTGATTCGCTGTTGAAGTCCAACGAATGGCGTTATGGTGCGATTCTGGATCGTCAAGACGCAGCAGTCAGGTTGATACGCGGCGTTGGCATCCCGAGAACAATGTTGTGGCACGCTTCAGGATCTTCAAACGGTTGTCTTCCAACGCGGCAGTTCCCTCAATGGAAATGAACCGTTGTAGGGGCCTATGAAGAGGGAGTTTGGAGGGAGTGTTAATTCCAACATCGTTGATGACTCTTGGGCTTCCACTGGTCTTCCTCCTCCACCTCCTCCTCCTCCTCCTCCTCCTCCTCCTCGTGCTTGGGCTTATATGTTCTGGGGTCGAGACAAGCCCGCACGACGGGCCTCCTGGACTGTGGCGATGCATCTTATTGCCGCAACTGCCCTGGCTGCAGCTTGCACGATCGAGCCTCTTCGAGGGGAACGGACCATGCCATTAACATAGTGAGCGCTTTCTTTTTTCTCCAAATAGGCTTGCCTTATAGGAGTTCTAACTCAAGCCCTACTAATTGGTCCGTTGCCCCCTCCCCTAATTCCTATGCCCACCCTAATTCCTATGGCTATTGCGCGTGTGGAAAACAGGATCGTCCTCATCGTCATCATTATCAACGTCATCATCACCATCATCATCCACTATCTAGTTGGAGTCAACGCTGGCTGATATTCGGCGTTTCGACAGTGGGCGGAAGGGAGGGAGGGGGGGGGGTCTGGCTCTGGACCTCTGCATAGTCCGACTGTTTGCAGCAGTGCATCCTACGGGGGAGAGACTCCACCTGCTCGAAACGGGCACCCAAAAAGAACCAAAAAGGGCAGGAGGGGTGCAAAAACCCGCGCAGATCGGCAAAACAATGAATAAGAACACGATCACAAAAAACTCCGAATCATTATGTTTATGTCTGTTCCCAGATATTCGAGAACATCCGGCCGACCGACCGAATCTCCCCACGCCTCCTGCCGATCGGCCTCACCCTTTTTCTGGACTTTCGAACCCCCCCCGTGGGGATACGATCACGCGCACGGAAATCTCCCCATCCCCCGCGATCCAACCACCCTGGCCTCACGCCACCTAGCCCCGTTATACAGCCCCCCCCACCAAACCCTCCTCGCTTTTTGAGCGACCTGGAAATGTGGAGGGAGGTATTGGCCAGCAAGAGCCCGAGGGGAGGGAGGAATCAGCACGGAGGTCCCCCGGCGCGGCCATGAAGAGGTCCCGCATGATCTTGCAGAACGAGTAGCAGAGGCCGAGATCCTACCGAGCGCTTCGACCTCCTTTCCTTCACCCCTCCCTGCCTCTCTCTCCTTCTATATTCTCTCTCTGTCTCTCTTGTTCTCTCTCCCTCTCTCCATCCCTCCATACTTCCCTCCCCATATTCATCCTCACATCCATTTCCAATACCGACACTACGCCGTCACTACGCCGAAACGCATCTCAGATGTTACGGCTCTCCCAAGCCTCAGGCCAACATGGAGGAAGAAGCACGCAGGGGTTTGGGGCCGAGGCGCGCAAGAAAGAGAGACTGGCCACCACATCCACACATATTGCGTGCGAGCACTCAGGGGAAGCAAGAGTCACTCGCCACGGCTTCCTGGCAGGCTCGTCCATCCGTCCATCCTCCTCGTCCCCTTTACTTTGAAACTCGGCCCCGACCTTTCGCGGAAAGAAGGGGGGGGTACGTCCTCGGCGTTGGCGTGGAAATAGAGGACCAGGAACCGCGCGTGCTGGGGGGGCGGACGCGGAGGCAGGAGGAGAGGAGGGTGACTCACTAAAAAAGGACCCCTACCCCTTTGGGAGGGGACCTAAGTCATGAGGGCCAAAAACAGTAGGGATACGGGGTCTTTTCTGCAGATGCATCGAACCAAACCGCCCAGAATTATGATTCCTATTGCAATGACGGGGACCTCAGTGAGGCCTATTACGTCTTCATCGTTTTATTAGGATTAAGGGTTCTTTGGTCCTCGATTTTCGATGAGAGGGACCCGGAGGAGGAGGAGCAGGAAAAGAGAAATATCCTGCCTCAGGGCCTTGCCCACCAGAGCATGGAGCGCACGCTTCACAAAGCCAGTCGAAAGGGCTCGTGCCAAGGGCAAGATCAATCAGCACCAGATCGGAACGTCGGATCGAGTCGGAGTGTGCGTCGGCTCGGGCCGAATCGGCACTCGAGTCGAAGTGGAATCGGATCGGCCGCGCCAGGATTTACCAGCCTGGAACATATCCCTATCCCTATGCTGGGCACCTCCTCATCACGATGCCAATCTTAGGGATTCCCTTATTTTTTGAGGGCGAGTCCATAAGATTGTCATCGCCTCTTGGCGTGTCAATCTTAGGGATAGGGATACGTTCGAGGCTGGTAAAGGATGCACAACGACGCCGTGCAGGCATCGGGCCGCACCGAGTCGTCGGAGCATCGGAACCGAGCCGGATCGAGCCGCCAAGAATCTGTACACATGGCCATATGTGTAAACTTGAAGGGGCCCTGGGACACACATATAAATACACACAAATAAAATGATTCCCCATATTTTTTCATATTTTCTGGGGTTTTGTCTTCCCCCCCACTTCCCATATTTTTCCATATTTTCCTGGGGATCGACGATTAATTGTGTCGGTGTGTTTTTTCCCCTCCTGAAAACTGGGCGTGCCGTGAGGTTCCTTGCTCAATCCCTCCGTCTTCAAGCCGGAGGATTTTGCCGCGTCCACGTTTGTGGAGCGGAGCTCCGCTGATTGGCCCTCGAGCCAGGGGATTTGACTGCTTGGCCCCCAGTGGCGGAGCGGCGCTCTACTCGTGTGCCTCGAAGCGGGGGATTCGGATTGCATCGCTCCCATCGAGGAGCAGCGCTCCACCCATGGGTCTCAAACTCAAATTCTCACTGCTTCGCCCCCATTAGCGGAGCGCGCTCCGCTAATGGGCTGAGACGCTTCATTCCTCCTCCATCTCCTCCTCATCATCCTCCTCTTACTCCTCCCCTCCCTTCGTCCGATATCCCAAGTGCTACCATTGGAATACCATGTGATGCATGTTACTTCTGCTACACAACCCAAGTCCCCCAAAAACATGCCTGATAGGATCGATCTGCCGCAATGGATACCTCTTCGGTACCGCTTGAGTCCTTTGACCCAAAACCCAGGCCACGAAACCCCGAGCAGCATCCGAGTCCTCTGACCCAGAACCTGGCACGGTGGCGGGGTGGGCCGAAGGCCAATGGAAACATCCATATCTATAATATCGATATATATATATATATATATATATATATATATATATAAAAAACAAATATGCATTGCCCAGGCTCATACAAAAAACAACTGCAGCACGTAAGCATCGCAGGAGTTTGACGAGAAGAGGAACATCACATCGGATCCAAGGAGGAGGAACGAGATGGAGAAACAGAGGAAAACAGATAGGAGGATCATGAGGATTACCAGGGACCTGTCGAGAAGGAGGTGCAACAGCGGGGTCGCAGTCGGACGCAGGTGGGGTGACCACACCTTGGAGAGAGCGTGATCCACCGCCGCTTTACTGTGGAAAATTGCCGCACTTTTCCTCCGGAATCCGGGTTCCCCCCCCCCTCCGAAATCCCCCCCCCCTGCTGGACCCCCCCCCCCCCCCTCCCCGCAACGCACCCCCCGCTCCCCTAACCCCCAACCCCCTCCTCCCTCTCTCCCCCTCGAAAAAAACCAGGGGGGGTCACTACCGGTTCGAACCCCCCCCGCAACCCACCCTTCTTTGAAAACCGGAGGAGGGGTCACTGCCGGTTCGAACCCCTCCCCACCCCCCCCACTCACCGCCAGCAAACGACTCCCGGTCCCTACCACCGTCCGCACCACATCCCCCACTGTTGTTCCCAGCACCACTGTCCTCACCACCACTGTCCCCACTGGCTCCACCACCGTCCCTACTCTCCCCACCAGTGCCCCCCACCACTGTCGCACTGTCCCCACTGTCCCCACCACTGTTCCCACCAGGGTTCCACTCTCCCCACTTTCTCCACGGCCCCAACCACTGGCCGACTATCCCCACTGTCCCCACTGTCCCACTGACTCCTCCGCTGTCCCACTAAGCTGTCCCACTGTTCCCACCACTGTCCCCACCACTGTCCCCACTGTTCGCACCACTGTCCCCACTGTACCTCTGTCCCATTGTCCCACCGCCGTCCTCGCCACCGCCTTCACCACTGTCCCCACCACTGTACCCTCTACTGTCCCACTGTTTCCACCTCATTCCCACTGTCCCCACTCTGTCCCCACCACCACCGTCCCCACCACTGTCCACTGTCCCTACTGTTCCCACCATTGTCCTCACCACTGTCCCCACCACTACCGTCCCCACCACTGTCCCACTGTCCCCACCACTGTCCCGCTGTCCCCTCACCACTGTCCCCATCACCACCGTCCCCACCACTGTCCGCACCCCCCCCTCGGTTTTCGAGGGGGGGGGGGTTCGAACCGGTAGTGACCCCCCCCAGTTTTCGAGGGGGAGGGGGGGGGGTTCGAACCGGTAGTGAACCCCCCCCTTTTCATGATGAACGGAGGGGGGGAGGGGTTCGAACCGGTAGTGACCCCCCCCCTGGTTTTCCCCCCTGCCCCTCCTTCCTCCCCCTTTCCTTTTTCCTTCCTTCCCCCCCCTCCCTCCCCGGAAGGGGGGGGGGGGGTGGGGGGAGGGGTTCGAAGCCGGTATTGACCTCCCCCCCGGTTTTTTTTCCCGCCAGCAGCGGTAGAACACGCTCTTTCACACCTTGCGATGCGTGTGGCGCAGGAGGGTGTTTCATACGCTGCGATTGCAATTGAGAAAGAGGCTGCAAAGCCAATGCTTGGAGGACATCTCGAACGAAACTAACATGTATAGTCATACGAAGATAACTTTGGATACGTCGGGTTTCGATATCGTGCGGATTCCTCACGCGAAATGTGCCAGAGTGACGTTCAGAATCATTGAACACTAGTGTGTGTGTGTGTGTGTGCGCGTGCGTGCGTGCGTGC